GCGCCCCCATCAGCCTCCCACAATTCAAGACTTCTAGATACGCCACTACCTTCAGTGCTTTCAAAGCTACCCCTTACCACGCCAACCTACATTCCCATTGGGGACGTCTCATTTGCTTATTTCCTCTTTCTAGCAAATCCTGGCGCCACCTCTGTCCGCGACCTAGTGGAAATTTTTTAATTAACATTGGGCCCAAACTGTTAGAGGGCCACCTAACTGTGGCTAAAAATATGCCTTAAAAAGATATTCTGTGCGATAGTAAGGGAATCTGACAGTTTTTTGACGGAAGACCGATGGGGTCTTGTTGAAAGCCATGGTCATAAGGCTAACTAAAACATATGAAATGTTTGGTCATTTTTAAGCTGTTCTGAGAAGATTTACAATACCAAAACGACACCAAAAATCTGATTATGGTAATGTTACGATTGATATTATTTCTTTACTGTTCACCATTTTCTTGGCATTGTTAGAACTCCAGTTGCTAGAAATTCATAACGGTTGCATTTTTAAATGTCTCATGTAAAACTATATATTTCTAAATCGTTTCTTATAAGTCCGAAAGTCTAATCCTGTTAAACTCATCATACTTTCTATCCATTAAGCTATGATGTTTAATGTTGTGATGTTATCTTATGATGTTATGTTAGTGAGTGATTTTAAGTGTATGTTTGTATCATTAAATCAAGTTTAAATATTTTATCACCTAAACAGTAAAACATAGCTTAAAACAATAAAGTGTTTTGATAATTATAAATAAATATATTTCGTCATTTCCTATGCTTAGAATATAAACGCTATTATCTATGTGTCTGTTATTCAGTTCAAGATTTTTTTTTATTTAAATGAAAGTTAATAACATAGGGCACCTACCTAATTCAAATTCATTTATTGGTATTTTATTAGTTCATACCTTATAAAAACATCATAAACCTATAAAATACAAGAGCGGCCGCACGTTCCTCCACGCTTCAATATGGTTCAGGTGCAAGTTATTATATTGAGTTTTTTTGGAAGAGCTAATAAGTTAGAAATTTTAAATAATTATATTTATGAATATAATTTTATATCCAACTATTATTTAGAATATTCAGTTGTACAGAATTAAAATATCTTAAAATTGAAAAAAATAAATTTCTTAAAAATGAATTGAATACTAAGACGGGATTCGAACTCACAACCTTAAGTTCTTTACAACACATCCTTAACCGACCGCGCCATCCATGCGATGTGCCATATTAGTGGTAATGGCAGTAATGTACAGTTGCTGGAAACCCTGTTTTGTTTTGTAGGTGTAGGGGGAACCCTGGGGTTGAACTTAAAAAAAGGGAGATGAAATCACCTCTTGTTTATGTGTACAAAATTTCCTGCACATGCGTTCAAGACTGGTGACGCTGGACGTTTTTAAAGTTCGGGTAACAAGAACAAGAACAACAGTGAGGGTCTGGGTTCAGCGCCTTGCGCCAAAAATGTTAAACTCTATATGTTGTGTAATATCAATTATATATGTTTTGTATGATTAGGTCTCTTAAAAAAGACACGATGTCACCTCCTCACAAGATCGATGAAATTAAGAGGAACCTTCAGAGACTCCTTAGTCTCAATCCTTCTGGAATTCCAGTAAACAACCTAGCTGCAACCTACAATACACAATTTCAACAAAAGCTTAAGTTGTGTGCAAATGGTATCGATGGCATTAGAGGTCTACCGGATTTCTTTGATTTTATTGAAATAGTAGATGAAAATGGTATGGAAATGTTACGACTAAGAAAGGGAGAAGAGGAGGGTGAATTCAAGTCAACTACAAAAGAATCTGAAAATACTTGTGGTCAAATTGTTGCAACCAATGATAAAACAGTTAGGGAAGATTCATTTACTTTAGAGGAGAAATTACCCGATGTTGGTGAAAAAGACAAAGAAGGCACTACAGGGCCAGTTGTTAAAGAAATATCAGAGTTACAAAATAAGCAACAGATGCCTTTATTTTCTCAGCAATCAGGAACAGCATTTGCGTATCCACATGCTCCAGGACCTCCAGGGTTCTACCAGCAAGGAATACCATTGCCTTATCCACGAACTTCACCATTAGTTTCACTTCCTCAAGGACTTCGTCAGCCGACAGGAACTCAGCAATTAGGAACAGCATTGATGTATCCACAGGCGTCAGCATTGCCTCCTCAAGGACCTTACCAGCGAATGGGATTTCAGCAATCAATGCATCCACAACTTTCAACAGAATATCCCCAAGGATATCATCAATGGAGAGGAGTTCAGCAACATTTAGGACCAGCAATGTATGGACAGCCTTCAACAGTGCCTTCTCAAGGATATCCTCTTTGGGGAGGATTTCAGCAATCTGGACCACCAAATGAGACTGAAATGTTACGAATTAAGAAAGGAGAGGAGGAAGATGAACTAAAGTCAAATACAAAAGAATCTGAAAATGCTTGTGGTCAAATTGTTGCAACCAATGGTAACACACTTAAGGAAGATTCATTGATTTTAAAGGCGAAGTCACCCAATGTTAGTAAAGAAGGCAATACCGTGCCAGATGTTGAAGAAAAATTGGATTTACAAAATAACAAACAGATGCCATTATTTTCTAAGCAATCAGGGCCACCAAATGAGACTGAAATGGTACAGCTAAGGAAAGGAGAAGAGGAAGGTGAATTCAGGTCAACTATTAAAGAATCAGAAAATGCTTGCGGTAAAATTGTCGGGACCAATGGTAACACAATTAAAGAAGTTAATAAAGATTCATTGAACTTGGAGGATGAAACATCCGATGTAAGTAAGGAAAACAAGGAAGGAGGCAATACCGGGCCAGATGTTGAAGAAAAGTCAGATTTACAAACTAAAAAACAGATGCCATTATTTACTCAGCAATCAGGACCAGCATTGACTTATCCACATGCTCCGTCACCGGTTCCTCCAGGGTTCCACCAATGTTACGAATTAAGAAAGGAGAGGAGGAAGATGAACTAAAGTCAAATACAAAAGAATCTGAAAATGCTTGTGGTCAAATTGTTGCAACCAATGGTAACACACTTAAGGAAGATTCATTGATTTTAGAGGCAAAATCACCCGTGAGTGAAGAGGACGAAGAAGGCAATACCGTGCCAGATGTTAAAGAAAAATCTGATATACAAAATAACAAACAGATGCCATTAATTTCTCAGCAATCAGGACCACCAAATGAGACTGATAAGGAACGAATAAGGAAAGGAGAGAAGGAAAATTTATTCAAGTCAACTACAAAAGAATTTGAAAATGCTTGGGGTGAAATTGTTGCAACCAATGATAACACAATTAAGGAAGATTTATTCACTTTGGAGGAGAAATCACCCAATGTTACTGAAGAAGGCAAAGAAGGCAATACCGGGCCAGATGTTGAAGATTTACAAACTAACAAACAGACGCCATTATTTTCTGAGAAATTAGGAGCAGCATTGTTGGCTTATCCAAATGCTCCGCCACTTCTTCCTCCAGGGTTCCACCACCAGCACTCAGAAGCACAGCAAGGAACAGCATTGCCATATCCACGGGCTTCACCATTAAATCCTCTTTCTCACAGACCTTATCAGCCGACTGGAACTCAGCAATTAGGACCAGCATTGACATATCCACAGGCTTCAACAATGCCTCCTCAGGGGCCTTATCAGCGAATAAGATTTCAGCAATCGATGCATCCTCACTTTTCAGCATATCCTGAAGGACATCATCAATGGAGAGGAGCTCAGCAGCAATCAGGAACAGCAATGTATGAACAGCCTTCAACAGTGATTCCTCAAGGACATCCTCATTGGAGAGGGTTTCAGCAATCGGGCCCACCACCGATGTCTTCACATGGTCCGCCACAGGTTCACCAGAGATACCAGCAATCTGGAAAAGCAATGGGGTATTCACACATTCCACAAATGCATCCTCTAGGACCTCAACACAATTTTTCATTATTGCCACATGCAAATGAAGCCAACCAAATGAAACAATTCGTACAGCCTGTGCTACAGACATCAGAAATCAAAGCACCTAGCACAGATACAGTCTCTGTAGGAAACAAAGTCTTCAGTTGGAATGTAACGACAGCTGTTGATTCCTCTATCACAGAAGACAGTGACTGGCCTGCATTAAACTCAGCAAATAAAACAAAGAAACAAACTAAGCGAGATCTAAAAGCAGAAGCCGAAAATCGCAGGATAAAATTTGAACACCTAGATAACTCTGAAATTCAATGCAGAAATGATGGGAAAATACCAACTAAAGATGATATTAATTCCCGAGCTTTATTCCATATCCAAGCACTAGCTGAACAAAATGAACATGTCAGTGTAGATTTGGTGATGAAGGGGGTAATGGAGCACTTTGGTAAGACAAATATCCAACAATTAAGGCTAAGAAAGGCAACAGATCTTGAAGCAATCTACAAACATCAACGCTTACTTTGCCGCATCAATGCCTATATATATGCTTTCTGTAATTGTCGCTCCATTGCTACACTATTTGAACTCCACAAAGATCTTGAAAACATTGAGGATGGTAAAGACTCTTTCCAAGAATTAAATGTTGGACCACTCTCTAAATTTCCTGCCGTATACACCCTGTTTAAATTTCCTCCCTATAAATCTGATGATGATATTATGAAAGTAACAACATTGGATATATTAGAACTTCTGAAGAATTACATGGACAAACATTATTTGTGGAGAAGCAAGGTGGAATTGAAGGGTTTCATGGAGTTTATAATGGAGCATTATGGAATTTCTGATCCTTATCAACTTGGAATTCGTGTTCAGAGTGTAGCCTTAGGAGTCTGTGTAAGTACTGTACATACAGTTATGTATTTCATTTTACTCAATGGATAATGTATTTTCAAATAAATGGCATTTCAATTTTTTTAAAGTAGACATAATTGCTGGTTAACGTTTTTGTAGATTTTACTTATTATTTTTTAATTATTTATAGTATAGTATCTGATAGTCAATCTGCATACATTACGGTACTGATACCTGCATTTGTTTCTAACAAGCGTTTCCATCAACATTAATTCAGCATTTCGAACAGCATTAATTCTGCTTGTGTCATACTGTATAGGTTGTCAGGCGGGCTATACGGGAAGAGAAGAATGTGATAGGTGAATGCTCTTTAGCCATCATGGAGAAGCTAAAGCAGGAGGCAGAAGCATCACTGGCAAGTGTCAAGAAATCAATTCTAGAGCCTGCAAATACGGACAAAGAACGTTCACGATTGGACAATCGGAGGCGTTATGCTGATATGACTGCTGCGGAAGCTATTCTTAAAGTATTTGAAAATGCTCAGCCGCTTTTGAATGAAGAGTTTAGTCTTCGAACATTTTTCCGTTCACTTCCAGCGATCGTCAACAACAGTATTGCAAGAAACCTTTTCCAACTTGCTATATGCCTAGGTAACATGGAATTTCCCCAGGAATACTTGCCTGCTGGTACTGAAGAAGTACAATCGGAGAAAGAAAATGAAATTGAAGAATCCGTGTGCGCAAATAAAATTCCTGATTATGGTATAATATTTTTGCTTTTAAACGTTTATTTTTTGCAAAGTATAATAAGTAGCAAAAGTTGTGTTTTGTTAAATATTAAACAAACCAGTTGTATTTCATTTGTATTTATGGCAACTGCCACTTCAGTCGACAAATGTTTCATAAATTATGATCAAGTATTTATTTAACCGTGCATTTTTATGTAATATTTTCTTGACAGAGGAAATTGTTAGTGATGTGGAAACATTTCTGAATCGTCTTGTAGATGTTCCAACTCTCATTGACCTAGCAAAAATTGAGAGTAGCTTATGCCGAAAAAGAAATTTGTCAAATTTCATGGATTTAAGAAAAGGAACATTTCTAGAGTTTATCACAAGGACTCCAAAGGTTTAAAAATGTTTTTAATAATTGGATTGATGACGATTATAGTGGTGTTATATATGATATAATTAATAATAGTAGTTGTTCTCTTTTCATGAAATTGGACTGCATTATTAAATTGTAATTTTAAAATAGTCTGTATTTGCATTTGTATTACAGCTCCTTCAGCAATTTGGTGGAAGTATTCTTGGTGCAACCAACCAAAAATCTAACCAGGGAACACTATATCACCCATCTATAAATGATCTTATTGAGTTCATCAGACAGTGTGGAAAGCAGAACATGGTTTGTATAAATAAACCAAGAAATTTCAACAGCCAGCCTCACAAGTTTGCCTTTCAATGTCTGCTTTTTTTCCCACTTTCCAAACTCTATCTTCTGTGTTGTTGGCTAAGCTTATTAAGATTATAATGTTATTGTACTATATATCACTAATTGTAGTTTGTAGTTAATTTTTTACTTAACTTTAACTTAATATGTCATTTTAAAATATTGTCATTTTATATTATTGATTTTTAAAATATTTCTAGAATGATAAGGTTGTTGAGATAGCATTGTGTGAGCATTTCCAGACAACATCAGTTGATTCATTTGGAAGAGGGTCTTTGCAAAGGTTGATTTCTAAGGCAAAGATTACACAGCATGATGAAGAGCAGAACAGCATCACCTATGAACAAGCCTTATGCACTCAAACAAGGTACTTCTAAATCTTGTAATTTACCTTTTCACTGTAGTCGTGATTTGAGGGTCAATGTATTTCGAGAGCCTTATCAATTTTCTAAATCACATTGATAGAGGGTGACTCTTCCAGCTTATCTTGGAAGGTCAGCTGATATTCAGGGGCCCTTTTTAATAATATAAAGTTGATGCATTAAAACTTGTTTATCATATTCTTCGCGGAGATACCTAAAGTGGTTGATAATCAGTTAAAAGATTGTCATATCAAAATGTCTGTAAATTTGTGACAACAGAATTACTTCAGTCTGTTTTTAATTTGATGTTGATAAATTATTTTTATTATTATTATTTGATCTTGTAAATAAATAATTATGTTGTATTGAAATGTTATGATTCTTTCCCAGATGTTATCCGAGACAGCATAACGTATTTTAATTCAATATTATAACAACATAAAATAAGATAACAAGATAAAAAGCCCTTGTTTAACACATTAACTCTCATTTTTGCTGTGCATGACAGGTGATACCCATTGCCAGCTTACTTTTGAAAGTCCCTCAAAAGGCTTATTGAGACACTGCAATGATAGTAAAGAGCTTTCTGTTTTAGAAACTTGTTGTAGTGCTAACATTTGTTTTCAAATGCCAGTTATTTTTGTTAAAGAATAAAGCAAGTTTCAGGCAGCCATGTGGGCGTGTGTGGACATCAGAGCCGGTGCAATGCCTTACTCTCTCTGAATTCTGCTCCTTTGTTGGAGGACTTGTCTGAGTGGTCTCAGTGGCCTTTGATATTTAAACCTGAGCACGGGGAGCTAAAAGGCTTCATCGAAAAATGGTCCGGTGCAGAGGTACCATATGAGCAAGAAGGTATGATCTCAATAACTTAAAGTTGTACAATAATGTTTAACATAAATAAGCTATGAATACTTATGAACATTTATAGATATACTATAGAACAGTAGAAATTAAAAGTTTAAAACTGGTATCACTGATAATATCCCTTCAAAAAGGGTTAACAAATTACCATGAAACTCATGTGACACAGGTATCCACATACAACCCAAATTTACATCTCGGTTGGAGTCATTTTTCACTTTCTAATAATATTCAGTATATTTGAAATTATATTTTTTTTATGTGGATGCGTTGGATTTTTAACAGCAAGACGATTGAAGATCATTATTGAGCATTACAACAAGGATTTGTATTTGATATATTTTTCAGATACACAATTGGACGAGCCTATCACGATCTTTGCCTTGGAAACCCAGCCGGGAGTTTTACTAAAGTTGGCTTCCAAAACTTCTCCTGATGATTTTAAAACTTCAGCAATTGAAGAAGATGCTAGGCTCACTGCTGGCCATTTAGTTTCCATTTTAACCAGAGATGGTATACAAAATGCTCCTCTTGTTTTGCTGCAAAACTATTTTGAGTCTGCCTTAAAAGCAATATTCTCTAAAGATGTTCCCTTGGTACCAGGCGGCCCACCTGAGAAAACAGATGCCGACACTAAGTTGGCGTCTTTTGTTTTAGACTGTATGATTCTAATACCAACCAAGATCTGCCATGCTGTTGCAGAGGTGTGTGTCTACAAATTTTTTTTTAAACAGTACTGTCACCATCATCAACAATAACAACTACAGTAATAGTAACATAACAGCAACAAAATCTACAGCATGTTGAATTTAACACCACGTGCATAATGTTTTAATCGAAAGTAAATTAATTTCAATTTTAATAGTATTTTTAAAACTAAGTTAAGTTGATAAATAGACTTTTTTTAAATTATCACTATTGTTTTTGTATGAAAATAATGTTTTGTTTCCATCTGAAGTCGACTCCAAGACCATTTGAATATCATGGGATGCTGTACAAACTGAGTCTTATGTTTCCAGGGAGGTGTGTCTTAATATTGTTCATAATTATGATTTAATTGTTCATCTTTTGGTATCGTAGGTGTTTCTAAAGCCCCTGTCTGAGGTTATTGGTGACAAAAGGTCCAAAAAGCTGCTGAAGGACTCCTGTGCTACCACAAAACATCTGAATAAATTACAACAACTTGGTTTCTTGCTGGGAATTGTTGAATGGTCAGAAACCTTTACCGTTAAACTTGAATATTCAAGTTCTGGTGAAGAGGATCGACAAGAAGATTTAATTGATATTGCGTCGCTTCGGCCAGAAACTGATAAATCCGAAAGTGACGCATCATTTATGGTGATTACACATCTTCATTAATGACTAAGCCATTTAAGTTTTTATTTTGATGCTGTATAGACTAAAATATATGTTGAATGTAGTCTATAAATGCTTCATAGGGAGCATAATTTATTGGAGAATTAACTCAATTCACTTTATAGGCCTACATTCTACATTTATACCATTATTGTTAAGAAAGACTGAGTTATTCTATACAGTAAACTAAATAATGAAATTTACAAAATGAATTTCTATTATAGTTTCTGTTTTTCCTCTGAAGTGATTAAGAATTCTTTTTAAACATTTTTTAGAGATAATTATAACAATATATTTGTATGTGGGTAATGTATGTGGTACAGTAGGTTATGTGTGTATGAATGTATATGTATGTGGATATGTGCGTTTGTAAGTATGTAAACAAAAAATAGATATCTTGAACTATACCTTCTTTTTTATTTTAAAGAGTCAAGAAGAAGACAAGTTTAATTTTGATACGGATGCGGTTATAGACTTCGAACTTAAAACGTCCTTTGATGCATCAACTGAAAATGGTGATTCATAATTCAGAAATACTAATTGATAATAATAATAATGTCAAAATAATTACTTATTTATAATATTAATAATATTAATAATTTACTGTAATATTGTATATCAGAACCGGATCTAGCAATTAAATTTTAAGGTTTCCGGGGTGTTTGACAGCCATATTCAGCTGGGCCATACCATGGATAATCTGAGTTTCTAAGTTTTACAATTGTAAAATCTAGAACCATGCTAAATGTTTGGAGATTGTTAATGAAGTATACACTGAAGATTATTTTAAAATAGGCCTGTCATGTTCTGGCAAGTCTATTTCCTGTCAATAAGCTACCTGAGTAAAAGTTGTGGTAAATCTCTTAGTTAAGATTATACTAATGGTTTGTAAGATTGGTTCATCAATATGAATTTAACTTTTTTATTATTTTACAATAATCGTTCAGATGAATATGGTCCTGTCAAAGATGTTTTAGAAGACTCGCGAGGAGATGAGTCAGAAATTAAGGATAAGGTTCAAGTCAAAACTCATGAAAGCAAACCAGCTGAAATGGATGGAATCAAAGAGAATGGTACATGTTGTGATATCGTAGAGCACAACACAGAAGAAATGCAGAGTTTTATTAAGAACGAGAAAGCAACAGTCACAGAACTTACACAATGTCAGGAAGAAATGCAACATTGTAAAGCTGTCGTTGATAATATTCGTAACAAAGAGTTTGGTATTGGCGCCATTTTGAGCAAAGAAGGTGAAAGTTTGATGACGGTTCAGAAAGGTCGCATCGTGCGAAGCTTGGAGCGACTTTCTACTGAACTCTACAGTAAAGATACACACTTTGTACTTGAACTGGTTCAGAACGCGGATGATAATACATATAATGACGACTGCCAACAACCATCACTCCTGTTCCAGTTGGAAGAGGGACACATTACTGTCTACAACAATGAAAAGGGCTTCAGTGCAGAGAACATACATGCACTGTGTGATGTTGGCAAAAGTACCAAAGGGAAACATAAGTATGGATACATAGGTAATAGTTTTCAAAATTAAACTCTCATGTAAAGATAGATTTTAGCTATCTTCAATATTTGTTTAAAAATTCTTCTAGTCATTAGGACATCATTTTACCGTATCATTTAAATTATAAATAGTGTGTGACACGTGTTTATATATTCAGATATGTTGTTTAATTGATTCATGGGACGGTGGGAGACACTACCAGACCCGCTCTTTCCGTAAACTTAACACGTACATAATAGAATAACAGAATATTTTTAAATGTAAAATGTTTGCTGTGAAAAGAAGAAAATAATATTAGGGGTAATTATTATGCGACAGTTGGCATAATCAACAAAATGTGGTAAACATGGAACATTGAATAGAGTGGTTAATATAGAATGATCTTGGATTAAAACGCAAATTAATTACAAAACAACATTAAACAATTATACTGTACTATGAAAAAAATTATTTGTAATCCATGACATATTCATTAATTTCCTCACAATTCAAAGTGTCAAGAAATTAAATTGATTGATTATCTTCTTTGTTAATTTTACTATTAGGCTTTTATCCTCATTTATAATTTATTTGAAAAAGTTCTTGGGGTTCTTATTTACTATGAATTTATTAAAAATGTAATAATTATATTCATTAAAAACTAATGTAACTGATTTCAGTTAATAAACATCTTCAAATATATTCAACCTCTTTATTTAAACCATATCTTTGTAATTACAGGTCACAAGGGAATTGGGTTCAAGTCTGTGTTTCGAGTGACTGACAGACCAGAAATACACTCCAATGGCTTTCATATCTGTTTTGACCGGCAGGCAGACTCCCTCGGCTACATCCTTCCCACCTGGATAGGTGCTTCGAATGTAGAAGATGTCACTGAAGATGGTGACAAAAACACAAAGGGGTAAGACTGTGTTAATGAAAAAAATGATTACCTATTTTTTACCATTCAAATCTATATGGTTACTTACTAATCATAATAATTCACATCTACACAGGTGGCAGACAAGGATTGTGCTTCCTTTGAAGGACGAAGTTTGTAAAACAAACAAGCTTATGAATCGATTCGATGACATCCAACCATCACTGCTACTTTTCCTACACAGACTAAGATCAATTCAGGTTTTAAATCAGGTAAAGTTATTCCTTTATAATCAATTATAATGTCTGTATATGATACAGAAATTAAAATAAGTTTAAACATACATCAACTGTTCTTTTACTTCCAACAGCCAAAGTCTACAGTAGTAGAGATGAAAAGAATTGATCATCTAAAAAATGTCATTGAAATTAAACATTCTGATGGAACAGACTTCTGGCTTGTTGTCAAGGAGATGATCAATGTAAACAAATCGGTGGTAAGAATGTTTATGTTTTCCAGTTCAAAATAATATTAGTTTTTGTTTATAGTAATGTATATGTATTCTAATTTAATACATTTTTTTTACGGTGTATGGGGATTCATTAATAAGTGCTCCACTGTACATCTTTAATACGAAGTGAAACAATGCATAGAGGCAGGTTTTGTGCTATGTAGTGCTACATCAATCCAATATATGTTGATTCATTATAATAACCATCGGCGACCGCGAGTTCGCTGTCCAGTTTACCTCCTCCACACTTAATGTTCCTTGATGTAGCCATACATCATTTGTCCTACTTTTTCTTACTGATTTTTGTTCCTCTGAACTCTTTCTTTAGTGTGACAGAGCTGATATGGAATCTACCGAACTTGCTTTGGCATTTCCTCTACCAAAAGGCAAAAGTGCTTCGGAATTTGTGTTGAAAGACCAATACATATTTGCTTATCTACCTTTGAGAAGCTATGGTTTCAAGTTTATTATACAAGGTACAGATACCTTTTTTGTATAATCCCAACACCAGAATCCAGGATTTTTTACAGTTGATGAAACTGTCAAAACCATTAATATGTTGGCCTTAGTTATGAATTAGGTTTTGCTGAGATTATTATAATATTTACTATGATTTCGAAGCCGTGACCTACAAGTTCGTTTCTAGCTTATACATGGCTCCACTCTGTGTTGTATGAGAGGGTTCCTGGCGTTAGAACTAAGCCTATAGCACATAAGCCTATGCGGTCAAACCGTATGAATCCGGTCAGAGAGAGCTTCATTGAAGAGGGCTATGCTTGATATGATTATGACATAATACATGTTCTTATTTTCACACACAGATTCATCTTCATTACCGCAATATTATAGAAAATGATGGTGATTATAATTGCTGTTGATTCGGTTAATACTACAATTTGTTCCTACCTGTTGTTACTTATTAGGCCTATTTTACTTTTTGCTTTAGGCGATTTTGACATTCCGTCTTCACGTGAAGATGTTGATAGTGACAGTGCCTGGAACCAGTGGATCAAGCAGCATTTGCCTTCTCTGTTTATCAAGGCTTTACAGTTTTTCAAAGTGAGTTTGTTACTTGGTATTGAACATCCGTTGTTAGTACTGTATGAACTTTTATAATATTGTGTTATGATCATTTATTGATACATATCATTTGTTTATTTGCCTCTGTATTTCAGGACTATTATGGTAGTGATAATGAAGAGGTTGCAGTTTGTAAATTTCTTCAGTTTGTTCCTGTTGAAGGCCAGATTTTGGGATTCTTCCAGAGCGTTGCTAAGGACATTCATCAGAAGCTTAAATCCAGTCCATGTCTACCAGTCCAGGTTCCTGATGGTATGTGTACGATCATCATGAGTGTTTTTAAAATGGTGATGATGATAAAAATTGGTATCGTGGTGGAGATAATACGCACATTCGATAAAATTTGAAAACAATTTCTCGTAATCTCGAAAGCTATGAGGGCAGTATAATAGAGGCAGTAGATCATGTTGGCCCTAACGGCCGTCCATAAAAAAGATACCTATTAACCAATCAGCCGAGTGTTTGTAGTGCTCCTGAGACAGTAGAGTATATTGGCCTTAATGACCGCCCACACAAAAATGTCTATTAATCAATCAGTCAAGTGTTTTTGAGAGCTCATCGGAGCTAAAAAGAATAGAACTACTGAAAAATCACAACATAGCTCATTCGGCTAAACTGGTGGTATCCACTGTGTGTGCGCTTAACCGGTAGTGTTTCTTTGGTACCCGATTCTATTCCATACCTGTTACTCCATTTTTGCTTCAAGTGGAGGGCTGAAATGCAAATATTAAAAAGTGTACAATCTTCCGGAAGAGTCATTTAAGTCTGTAATATCATCCACTCTTCAGAAAAGAGTAAGGATTATCTCCTGCTGTCCTGCCCAATCAACAGGAGGACCTCACTGGAAATGATTCTTTGGACTTTAAATCCAATCCAATCCACCGATCTGACAGTTAATTTTTTGCTCTCTTTTAGAAAATGGTACAAAAATATGGAGACAACCATCAGAAGCCATCATTGTACATGATCAGTTGGTACAAGAACTTGTACCTCCAGAGGTTCTTCACTGCCACCTTGGATGCTACTACTTGAGCAATGTTGTCAGCTCTATGTTGAATATTGCCCTCTTGAAGAGTCTTGGAGTTAAAGTCATAACAACTAGTAATCTCATTAGTCTCTTTAAGGGAGAGGTTTTAAAGGCAAAAGCAGATGGTAATTTTTTTATATCATTATAGCGATTTTAGAATTTACAGTACATTTAAATTTATTGCTATAAAGGTGTCTTTGCCTCCTTTTTCTGCACTAATACCGCCATCATCGTCATCATATCATCATCATAATCATCAAATCAGTATTCTTAACATCATCATTTCAATCACCATAATAATATTAAGATTATTGTTATCACCATCATAATTATAATCAAAAAAAAAGTGATGAGAATGAGTTAGTGGTCAGATGTACAAAATGTCATATTCAAACCTAAATACATAAACTATACAAATATTAAAATTTGCTTTATGAACGAATTAAACAAAATTATTGGACCACTAAATAACGTGTTGTTTGCAAAGTTATAACCGGTAGTCTAACTCTAAAAGCTATAGTTACATTGTCATATGTTTTCTCCCAACAGGAGTCAGTTTAAATATCACTAACATTGCCAAGTGGTTAACATGTATATATCGCTGTCGTGAGGAAGAGCATGACATATCTGAAGAACCAATTAAAGAAATTCAAGCTCTTCCCATCATTCCACTTTGCAATGGCAAGTGGACAGATCTCCAAGATAAGAGTGTATTCTTTTCATTGATGTTTGAAAAACAAAGAACTGACGTGAACGCCCCCAAGAAAGCTGCCAAGAAAGAAATGCAGGGTAAGAGCATTGTTGATATTGTGACCTATTTAGGAGTATTGACATGTGGGGGGCGACGATAAATGCCGCGAACATTAAGTGTAGGAGATGGGGCTCGATTAACTGAAGGGAACTAGGTATCTACCAAGGTACAGTGACATTAAGTAAATTTTGATCTTTTAAGCGTAATTTGATGCTCAGCAAATTTTCAGCTTGCCGAATGGGATAGTTTGGGCGCACTAGCTTTTTGTTATCATCATCTTAAAATCATCTCCACTGTCATCACCTTAACCGATATCATTTACAGCATCACTATCATCATCATCGTCATAACTATCACCATGATTATTATCATCATCAGCATCACCATCATCATCATCATTTTCACAACCAGCAATGATACATTGAAGAGAAAACTGAAGAATCAATATTTACCACCTAATACTTCTTCATTTTAAATTTATCCACAATTTTTAATCTTGTAGGAAGTATTCAGAATTTGGAATCAGATATGTACATACTACATGCCGATTTTATGACTTGTCAAGATAGCTTAGCAAATTCCCAGGTTATGTTGATGATGGAACAATTAGGTGTTTGCCATATCGAACCACGTGACGTCATCCACAATCACATCTTACCTGCGCTTAAATCTGACGATTGGAAAGTATGCTTAAAATACATTTATATTTAAGCATATATCATACAGATATTTAAATCGTTAACATTACTCTATTATTAATATATTAAAGTTTACTTTAATGATAATTAGTAATATTATCAATAATATTAGTATGATTAACATTATTAATATCAATAATATGATATAATATATGTATATACATTTTAAAATTTATATAACTCTTCACATTATTTAGACTATATCATTAATAATGTTTGTTGTTTTATTCATGTCTTATTATTATTATTTTTATTATTATTATTATAAATATGTTTGAAAACCAATTTCTTTTTCCTGAAGTGTTTACAGTGCTATATTACTTGTGAGTGAAATGGCCGAGCGGTTAGCAGGGGCGTCTCAAGCTACAGCTAAATTATCGGCGCTGGTTCGAATGGCACGCTCACCTATGGTTCTGGCGGTAGAACAATTGTCTTTTCGGATAAGGACCATAAACTGTAGGCCCAGTGTATACAATGGCTCGTGTGCACTATAAAGAACCCAGTACATCCTTCGAGACGAGTAGGGGGATACCCTGGTGTACTGGAAAACAGAGCCCCTGTGGTGGACGATGACAGTTGCTGGTACCGGGTAGCACAGACACAAAGCGACCCTTAGGGGTGAAGAAAGTCATTGATCGAGTTCCTAGTCCACATATCAAGTGCCCTGAGCATCTTATGTTAGATGGATATGGCCAGTGGCCTAACGATAGGGCCGGGGGCCCTGTGTATTTCTAAAGCTGGGGGCCCTTTTTGGGTCCCGATCACCAATTCCATGGTGGGATTTTAGGTGTGCATTTTTATTCTAAATTTTTTAACAACGAATAAATAATGTAATATGCATCCAGAAAATTGAAGCCAGAGAGGGACTTTCACAGTTGGAGAGTCTATACCACCTCAGACCCACCTTGGTTGTGGATGAGGTAAGAAAATTTATGAATATGGCACCTTTAGATGGCCGGAAATGGCACTTCACAAACAAAATTATGAATTTTCTTTTCATCTCCAGTTAAAAAATATTTTGACAAATTTAGTGGGGCCCCGGGCCAGCAGTTCCCCCTTCCCCACACTCTTTCCGCCACTGGATATAATATATGTCCTACAATCGATTGCCAATGCCCTTGTGAGGCTGAGATAAGAAAATGTATTACTATGGCACGTCTAGATGGCCAGAAATGGCACTCACAGACATTAAATTTTCTTTTCATCTCCATTTTTTTACAAATTTGGTGGGGTCCCAGGCCGAGAGGGAGGCCCCGTGGGGCCGACGAGGCCCTTTCTATTTAACCATTATAATATGATATATGCCTACAGTCGATTTCAGAGACAAATTATGGTTTTATTTATCAACAAAGTCCTTTTTGGTCAGCTAGATCGAGGAACCTATAAGTAGGGCCTCTTCGGGGCCCCTAGAATTCGGGGCCCATTGCACTGCCGCATGAGAGCGCATAGGCGTTACGCCACTGGATATGGCGCTATATAAAACTACACTATTATTATTATTATTATTATTATTATTATTTTTATTATTATTATTATATTTACACGTTATATTTAATTTTAATTTAATAATAATTAGTTTTCTAATTTCTTCATCAACGTTAATAACAATAATACTTGTCATTTTCAACATTTCACATCAATGTATTTTTAAAGGAAAAACCTGCTGCAGTGTTGGTAAGCTACATCGTGTACATCAAAGACCAAATGCAACTCCAGTCAGACATTTGTAAGATGTCGGATATAAAATCAGTGGCTCAAATACGGACTGATAAGGGGACATTTGTGAATCCTAGCAGAGAACCTATTCACTTCACAAAGACGTATGGGAACAAGTATGACTTAAGGAAGGATCTAACAGGTAAATAAATAAAAAACAATCCGATTTAAATTATTTGCTGATTATTTAGGCGCATAAGAAAATAATTCCTATTATCTACGTATTGCATACAAGAATATGTTCGGTGGCGGAGAGGTCGACGGCAAGGAAAATTTCAACGGTGACAATAATAATAATTATTTATTAATGTACGATTACAGTAACATGATTCTGACGATTTTTATAATCTTGATAACTTATATAATGATCATGATGCTTATATACTTTGATGAAAATAGATCAATCACTAAAGCAAGGTTTCTCTCTTTTTTATTTATTTTTAAGGTGTTGATTGGACTTTAGTTGATGAATGTTATCTACGTTGTAGTCAACAACATTTGGCATCACAAGTTTCACAGTGGCAACGGTTTCTCTCTGAGTTAGGCGTTTCTCTTATACACATCTAGATGTTATATATTCAAGAGTGGGTTTACATGTATCCAAGTGAAATAAAATGTAAAAACAATGAAAAAACGGTGTATAATCGTTGAAAGTTGACTTGCGGAACACAAATTTATTCAACTATAACAAAATCAAACGGATATTTTGATAGCTCCTGCTATCTTTATCAACGTATTTATTCTTGTCATCACTTAGCTCATTCTTGTGAGTGTTTTTTTTTTTTACACTAATTAAAGTAATATATACAGGTATATAGTTAATATGCTATGTGTAAGGTCATGCATTATTCCTAACTTTCACAAGTTTAACTTAATGTTCACATTGCCATATTTAAACTGCAACAATTCATTTTTAGATTTCCTCAATTTGGTGCAGTGAGTATGATGCTTGGCCAGTTCCAAGTGATGAATGTTACCAGATTGAAGATAGCAGGAGCAAGGAATTGGAGAAACTTTTTGAGAATAACACAAAGGGAACTGATGACAATCACAGAGTTATGATGAAGTTCCTGTACATTCTTCAAAATGAATGGGACTACTTTCATAAATTCGTTGACGCTTCACTAATTATTGACAGCCAAAGAAAAAAATCGATTGAATCAAGTTTTGCAAAACTATTGTTAAGATCTTCATGGATTTCCACAAAGCCGATGCTGGATCCAGAAGGTGGAGATTTTACTGGCAAACGGCTGTTACCACCAAATCAGGTTTTTCTAGCCTCAGAATGTTTGTCTTTTTTCTTAGACAAGCATGTTCCTTATCTTAGTGGACCTACACTAAGGAATAAAGAGCTTATACAGTTCTTAGGTATTAAGGGAGAGGATATAGTAAACAATATTAATTTCCTAATCGACATGCTTCGAGGTTGGTGTACAAGAGGAAAGAAGTGCCAACCAGAAGAGATCATGAAGTCTGGGGCAAGGTTTACCACATCTGTTAAACATATCTTACAAGTTTACAATCACCTACAAAGGTACGCACCTCCAGAGCAGCTTCAAATATTTTTTGACAAATTCCCGGCTGTATTTCTACCTTCTAGTCTTTGTGAACAACACAGGGTTGTCCCGGGAAGGTTTGTACATAAATCATTGACGTACTGGATAGATCCTACCAAACTATTCCATAAGTATGTTGCATCTAGTAACAGAGATTCTGTTATCGAGATATATCATGAGTCAAACAGAGATTTCTTTCAGAGACAACTTAAGATTGATGACACACCGACTATGCTTGAATATTTACAGTTGCTTGTCAAGATTACTAGTGAAAATCAACTTCCAAATGTAAACGTTCTCGCTGATATCCTAAAGATCTTTGGAATTCTGGGTGAAAAATGTGCCATTTCAGGTCATACTTACAGCAGAAGCAGCTCTGCAACACAAGATTCCATTAGTGTTGATACCAATAGAGCAGCCTATTTAAAGGAAATGCTGAAGGGATATAAAGTGTTCCCTACCAAAGCAAATAGGTGGGTGGCTCTTGACGATGAGCCATTAATAGTTGATGAAGGATCAAAGGAACTTGAAAAACTGTTCTGTTCTAACCAAGATATAAATTTTCTTCAATGGGATGTTAGTAAAAATGCAAATGAAAGACAGGGGCTAAAAAGGAAGTCTAGAGACAATTTTGAAGAAATAAATGAATACGAAAATGTCCAATGTTTTCTACACGCTTGTGGAATCAAGTATCTGTTTGAATGCATTGAACATGAACCCATTGAGGAACACATTCGACCATGTCCAAGGCTGAAGAATCTAATGCATCGTGTGGTTCCATACGTGCAGTCTTTTTTATTTTCAAAGTATGGCGAGGTTCACGAAAGGCTCGTTTCCAAAGTCAAAATAATATCTAAATTGAAAATCATGAACTTCATGACTGCATCTAGACTTGAAGTCATATATAGAATTAACTACACCAAGGATGGCGAAAAAATAACTACTACACGTTCCACAGAACAGAAGTGTACAATAACCAGAAATCTTTACATACATAAGGCGATAGAACAAAATATTCAAGAAGACAGTTCTGTAAGGAAAGAAATAGCAAAGTTATTCAGTGATGGTGATAATTCTTGCCAAAAAGATATGAATGCATTCCTTATGTTGGTGATGAAGCGTTCCAACCAGGCTTTCGATGATGCGGATTTTCTCAATGAATTTGGTTTATCAGCAGTTGAAGGTGTGGAATTGTGGGAAGTTGAAAAAGCCGAAGAACCCACTCCTGTTCCCGGTAAGTACTGTATTCTTAGTGAAGTTATTTTCTTTTTTGTTTTTAAATCAACCTAACTTATATGTTTATATATTTACATGTGTACATAAATATTATTAATTTATATAGTTATTAAACTTGCTCAATGCAAGTGTCTGTACTACTACACTTGCAAATATAATTGTAGTTAAGATATAAATTATAGATATATCGCAGATAGAAATATAAAACTCCCTAATCGTTTGACCTTTGCACTGATGTGTTAGGTGGTAGGCCTTATAAACATGACATTGTAGCCTACTTTATTATTATTATTTTCTTATAGTTCCGAAACCAGTGGTGGTTTTACCAACTGTTAGTGAAAACGAAAAAACTACGAAAGGTGGTCTTGAAAAAGCTGAAAAGGGATCAGGCATCTACAGTTGGCCTCCTAAATCCAGTGCTCATGAACTAGTGAAAACGGATAGTAAGTTACCATCTAGTGATATACTTCATCATACTAGTAGGCATACACTTAATATAGATTACACATAACTACGAAAGATGTTGAAGAACACTTTACTTTTTTTCCTCTAAAGTGCAATTTCATAATGTTTGCTGTTTCAATAATAATAATTATCTTTCATTAACTGTTGTATTTTTAGATCAGACAAGGAATTCTTCTGAAAAAGCGTCTTTGGAACAGTGGCCACTACCTCTACCACCTCAGTCATTCGCTAATGTTCCATCTCCGAGTGAAGCTTCGACACAGCATGTTTCAGGAGCAAAATTAGGTAAACTATTCTACATCCTCTTATACGCCATTAATCTTAAATACTTAGATTGACCTTTGTTTTATTTCCCCTTGACATACAGTTACAGTACAATTTTAAAATAATATGTACTAGTCAATTACATGTGTTATGAATAATTAAAATGTGTGTATTTTTTTTATCGATAACCACACGAGATTCTCAGTATGTCAAGTCATTATAGACTAAGCGCTAGCTACGCATACATTGATAAACTGCAATTTCATTAAATGTTTTCTGTTGTTGCAATAATATAGAATATCTTTCATTAACTGTTGTATTTTTAGAGGCCAGGAATCCTTCTGATAAAACGTCTTTGGAACAGTGGCTACTACCTCAAGCAGGTCAGTCATTAGCTAATGTTCCATCTTCGAGAGAATCTCTAACACAGCATGTCCCAGGAGAAAAAATAGGTAAAATATTCCTACATTCTCGTATGCTCCATCAAACTCAAATCAAATACTTGGAGTGACCTTTGTTATAAGGTCTGTCAACACTTGACACACAGTAGCAGTTCAAAGACAACATATGATTTGTCAATACACTTGGTACATATTGTATGATTACAATTTGTAATTTTTTTTTATAGCTGCACGAGATTCAAAGATGGCCAATAAACTACCTAATTCTGATTTAATCAATGATAGACAAGTTGGTCATGACCATCAAATAACTCCAACTGTTGTTAGCGATGTTGACAAGAAATATGTTACAAACAGTTCACCGGAAATGAGGCAAAGTACATCTGCAGACGTTAACCAACATTTCACTAAAGAAACACCAACACTAGCTTCTGGTGTCGACAGGCAATTTCAAACTCCTCCAAACCCACAGAGAATCGTGTCACTCAGTAGTAGTCCAAGAAGTGAATGTAGTACAAGAACATTTAGCCCGTCACCATCCGTTCAGCTGATTGAGGAGGAAATTACACCAAATCTTCGAGATTTGAAGTTCTTTGAGGACACTCAGAAGAGTGTTTCCAACCCCAGTGATGACATAATAGGACGCTGGGGAGAGGAACTTGTGTATCACCTCTTAAAGAACCAGTACGAAGGCAAGTCCACGGTTCACTGGGCAAATGAACAAAATGAGACAGGATATCCATATGACATTGAAATACAAACAAATATTGAAGGTGGTGTTCATACCGAATATATTGAGGTCAAAGCTACCAATTCATCTGATAAGAAATACTTCAAAATCTCTGCGAATGAAGTAACGTTTGCTCAGCTTAATGCGCCAAATTATCACTTGTATCGTGTCTACAACGCGGGAAAGAAAGAGGCCGTCAGAGTTTGTTCACTGAGGAATCTCAGTGAGAAGATGGTGAAAAAGGAAGTAGTATTATTCATGCAAATTTAAATTTCGCTCATTGTACAATTTTTTTTTTATTGATATATGTTAAAACGCATGTCGATATTTGCAGAATATGATATGACATTTTAATATAGGTGTATATCTTAAAACGAATTAACGACGTTTCTCTAAATCCATATCTCAGTTTGTACGTTTCCCTGTAGTACTTCGCTCCATGATATACACCGTGGATTTATATTTAACTGTTTTGTATTTGTGCACAAGTAGATTTTTATAATCATCTTATTTGAACACAATGTAACACAAAACTAAGAAGTCGAGTAGCTGTAATAATGAGTTTAAATAATTATCTCATCACTGTCAGAAGACCATACACTGAGCCGGGCTATTAAAAAGGCAGTGTTATTGTTGAATATATAGAGCCCTTTTATTCTATTTCTGAGGCGTTTTAGAATGTCATTTATTATTTTATTATTGAAGTAAATTTTGAATATTCATGTAATTAGAAGGTATATAACCTATAATAGATAACCTATATATTTAAAATAGTTTTATAAGTTGAATCAATATTATAAATATAATGGCGCAAATGTTGTAATCATGGAAGTAGTGACCCATGTTGTCACGTGATATATTGATGAAAAAGGCATATGTATATCATATTTTAATACTTTTATTGATGTGCTATTTTAATGATGTATAGAATTTATATAGACCTAATGTAATTATTGTATTGTAATTGTTGATGCCCAAAATAAGCCTGTGATTTCAACTGCGCATGTATGTCGAAGGTCAGGTTTGTAACAGTAGCGGATTCAAAGGGTCAAGACCCCCCTTCTTAAAGTTTTTCAAAATTATAAAAAAGAAAATTATATACAAATGTTAGTCGTTAGGTGCCATAATCATAAATGTTTCAACCATGGTAAGGTTGAGGTGGTCCAGACCACTCTCTATCTTTGGACGTCCCTCCCCAGCCCCCTCCCTTCCACTATTTCGAACTCCTTGATCCGCCACTGCATAACACATCGTAGGGCCTATGTAAAGCAGATTCGTTTTCCAGCGGTCTTAAATACTGTACTTACAGTATTTAAGGCTTCTGGAAAACATACGTCTTGAGGGGTAGTGTTGCTTCAAACCATAAGTAGCCCTCACTATAAAAAAAAATCCTAGATCTGCCTCTGCAAAGCACCGAGATCCATGTTATAAATTACGTCAATATATGATGTACCATAACTTAAATTACTTGCTATAGTACTACAAACAAATTTAATATTATTTTTTTATATACGAATTATGTAACTTAGTGAAATTAATACCAATTAGTATAAAGCCCTGTGAAGCCTATCAAATTTTATTTGACAAAAACATCTGACAAACCATGACTATTAATTGCACATTTTGATAATGCAAGTATTAAATCACATGAACTACCATAAAACCTCGATTGGAGGCCTAATGTGCTTAATCTCGAGAAGAAGCTCATCTCAAATGGTAGCACCCCCTCCCCACCTCGCTCTTCTTTTTAGTTTGCAAAAGTAACCTTTTCTTCTTATCCAGATAGCAAGGGCTTTTTTTCGAGATAGTACAGTACATACACTGTACATACATTTCAAATAAATATATAAATAAAATACATGTTTGGTTTATACAGTAGTTTAGCTGATTTAATGCCGGTTAATACACTCATGATACAGACTGATTTTACAGTGGCCTTATGTATTGTTTTATAGTAGTTATAGCCTGTACTGAGAATAAAATCAGAATGAGGTATGTGAAATTTTAAAATAAAAGTATTTCAGTACGTAGTGTACACACTTGGTTTTGTATACTATTTCTGTTGAGTATTCAATGTTATAGGCTTTCGGTCATTGCAAGTAGATGTGCGTTGGATTACGCCATACGCGAATTTAATAGGCCTAAACACTGCAAGTAGGCCTACCCAGAAATTTCACTTTACCAACTTGGGAGGTCTGCAGTTACCCGATCTGATAAATTTCCAACAAATTTCGTCCCACAGTTATGTCAACGGTTAGAAGATCATAGGTCTACTAGCATTCGCGATATTTAGGAACGATTTTATTGAAATAATACTCTGTTATTTTCAAGGAGTTATTTCAAAGGTACAAAATACTCCTTTCAATGCCGTAGCCAGAATTTTCAAACAGTGCGGGATAATATCAGGGTGGACCCACGTTACGTGTAAATTCAAATAATGTGGACCCATTTTACGTAAAAATATGAAATATCTGGACCCATTTTCTTAAAATTGTACCCATTTTAGGCTAAATATGAGAAATATGGGTCCTTATGGCCCCATTTTTCAAAAATGGACTCATTTTTGCATGAAACTGCATAATTGGGACCCATTTTTTAAAAATGTGGACTGGGACTGTCCCAACTGTCCCAATAGCTGGCTACGCGGCATTGACTCCTTTGAAAATTAACTACGTAGGTACATTTTGAAAAGTCGACATTTTCAATTGTTGGGCCCTCCATGGCAGAGTCCCAAAACGATAGCATTTTGAGAGCAATTCGATTTCTGAAACCCCAAAATGAATACTAATTAAATGTTCATTCATTGGGTAGATAGGACTTAACAGTGTAGTACGTTTTATGTCGTTTACACCACTGTAGGCTTACAACAGATAAATTATTCATAACGGGATCAATCTGCAAAATGTCCAACAAATTCGTTACCACAGTTACTAAAAAACAGGATAGTTGGCGAATGAAATGCAATGCATAATACAGCTACAGCTTTTGCGATAATTAGGAAAAGTTTTAAAATGGACCTTTTTAAGTAATTTGGAGGTTCAGGGCAGCGGAGCCCCGTTGGGGGTTTGTGTGTGGAAGGTCCGACAATAGCTTCGTTTTTCCAGAGCATTACATTATATAATAGATTTTGAAACCCTTAATTCTATTTTAATTTTCATTCATTGTTGTAGGGGCCTGAAGAAATACGTTTTATGCCCTTTACATTTTGTAGACCTCCGCAAACAGTGGCGAATCCAGAAATTTATAATAGAAGGGTGCCCTGCCAGGACTTTCGCAGATTGAGGTGTATACCTCAACCCAACCATGTGTGGTTTGGGGTGACGTAAGAAAATTTATGATTATGGTACCTCTAGATGGCCAGATATTGCACTTTGAACATGAATATATTTTTTTTTCTCTATTCCTTTTTAAATTTTGGAAAATTTAGGGAGGGCCCGTGCCGGCTGGGCCCCACCTTGAATCCGCCACTGAAACACCGGAGCTGATAAATTTCCAACAATTGTCGTTAACAGTTTTAGCCAGGTTGTAAAACTGCTGAAATGCACTTTAGCGGGAAAAAAGTAAAGGAAAATCAATTTTTTATTTTTCTGAATTAGCATACCCTATAGTGTCTCAGAAAAAAAATCCCCATGCCTAGGGCTTGGGCAATATTTTTTACAGCACTTTGAAATTTTGGCCTAAAATGTGGGTAAGGGAAATAAATTAATGTTTTTGGTCACTTTTACATATACTGTGGATATGAAATGTAACAACAACTTGGCTATATAGTTACTCATCACTCTCATTAAAAAATTTGATCGGAATGATGACGTCATCATGACAAATTCCAAGATGGCGTTCATTATGGTGAGAAAAACTATGTTTTTAATGTAAAAATAATTTTATTGTTATCAAAGTACATTACAATCTCAATACAATATTATACAAACAGGACTAAAAAAAAAACATATTGGCCCTTTATATAATTAATGAACTAATACAAAGTTAACCCAACGAATAAACGAAATATTGAAATTTTGCTTTAAAATACCAATTTTTGGATCGGGGTATGGGAGACATGTTTATGTTTTTAGTCACTTTTAGGTTTTTTTTTCTTTAACTGTGAAAACTGACAGACCTTAGTTAAATACCCATTATAGTCGTTCAGTGGCGGCCCCAGGGGGTCTGATAGGGTGGGTCCAAACACAGGGCCGACTAGACCCTCGGTCAGAGTCCCGGAATAAACATCCCTGCTGGCTTATGGGAGAGCTTTTTTTTTTTTTTTTTAGCTTAGTACCGTATGGCCCAAAATTTTGCTTTTAAGCCAATATATTAGGGATTGACAATCAGAATAATGTTTTATGGATAAGCAAATCATTATATATGGTGTGACGACCTTGTCGTGGCATCGGACGATGGGAGTCTAGGCCTGTCTGACTGGAATTCCCCACCTCCCAAGCACATTTGGAATGATGACGTCAACACACCAAATTCCAAGACGACAGTCAAGATTAAAGGAAATGTTTACCTATTTAAATTTAATCTTTCTACACTACATTTTTCTTCATCATCATTATTAAACTATTATGTTGTTACTTTATAATATTATTTATATAGTATATCATTATTCTTATGCGTTTAATATTAGCGTTGTACTGTTATTCTTACTATACTGATGTCATTATTATTATTATTATCATCATCATCTTCCTCATTGTCATCCCCATCCTCACTATAATCCCCATTATAAGGAGGATGTTGATGATGATGAGAAGAAAAATGATGAGGATGATGAGGTGAGGAAGAAGATGATGGTGATTATGATTGATGATAATGGTTGTTGATGATAATGATTGTGATGATGGTGATGAGAATGATAGAAAATGATTGATGAGAATGATGATGATGATGAATGATGGGAATCATCCCTCTCATCCTCACCCTCGTCCTCATCTTCATTCTCGTCCTCATCATCATCCTCGTGACTGATGATGAAGAGGATAATGATGAAAATGATTATGGTAATGATGATGATGACAGTAATCAGGATGAAGATGAGGATGACGATAATAATGAGGATGGTGGTAATGATGATTATGATTATGGTGATGAAGATAAGAATGATGATGAGGAGGATGAGGATGATGCGGTTGATGAGAAGGAAAATGATGAGGTAGATGATGATTGATGATGGATGATGATGAGGAAGAAAATGATGTTGATAAGGATGGTGAGGATAATGATGATAATAAGGAGGAAGATTAGGATAAAGAGTTTGATGATAAAGATAAGGATGATGATTATGGTTGTTAATGAGGATGATCGTGATAATGATGAGGATGATTGATGGGAATGATGTCGAAGAGGTTGATGATGACGAATGATGAGAAACATCCCCTCGGCCCCTCATCCTCATCTTCATTCTTGTCGTCCTCCTCTTCATCATCATCCTCATGATGAGGATGATGATTGGTAATGATGATTAATAAGGATAATGATGATGTGGTTGATGATGATGAGGACAAGGATGATGATGGATGATGATGATAGATGATGATTGTAATGAGGATGATAATGACAATGAGGACAATGATGATGAATGATGATTGAGTGATGATGATAAGGAGGATAAGGATGATGATGGATGAGAATGATTAGTAGGATGAAGCTGATGGTGATGATGATAACGATGAATGGTGAGGATGGTGATGAGGGTGACGATGATGGATGAGGATCAATGCCATAGCCAGGATTTTCAAACGGTTTGGGACAATATCAGGGTGGACCCACTTTACGTGTAAATTTAAACAATGTGGACCGGACCCATTTTACGCAAAGATATGAAATATGTGGACCCATTTTCTTAAATTTTACCAATTTTTAGCTAAATATGAGAAATCTGGATCCATTTTATGCATAAAATTACATAATTTGGTTCCATTTTTAAAATGTGGACCCATAAGAAAAATGGTGTTGGACTGTCCCTATCCCAATAGCTGGCTACGCCATTGATGATAACGAGGATGATGATGGATGAGGATGAATATGATTATGAGGATGATAATAATGAAAATGATGAAGAATGAGGAGGATGAAGATTATGAGGATGATGATAACGACAATAGATACCGTAATTGATGAGGACATGATGAAGATTAGGACGATGACGATGGATGAGTATGATGTCATGATGATGATGCTGATTATTACAACGATCGGTGACAGTAAGGTTGATTATGATGGTTAGACAACAATAAGAATGATGATGACGATGACGAATAGGATGAGGATGATGATGACAGATGATGATAATACTGTAATGATATCAATAGTGGTAATAAAAATATTATAAATAATATTATTATATAACAGTACTAACAATGTAATTCATTTAATAATAAAATATAATTTTGAAATAACAAGAATACAATATACGGTAGTAATATATAATATAATAATAATATTAATAATGATTTCAACAATAATAAATAGGGCCTAAGCATAATACTACTATTAAAATAATAATATTTATATATTCTATAAGCTGTGTACATTGCTTTGATGAGATTGTATTTTATACAATAGTAGTAGTAATAATTACAAAAATAACCACTTTCCCCGTCAAGATGAACGCCAGGGGCAGATCCAGAGATGTCCAAAAGGGGGGGGGGGGGGGCGAGAAG